ATGTTGAACATTTTTCATGTATTTATTTGCCATTTGTATTTCTTCATGTGAGAAGTGTATATTCATCTCAGATGCACATTTTTGTATTGGGTCTTTGAGTTTTGAAGGCCTGATTTTTTAAATTCCTTATGTTCTAGACAGGAGTCCTTTGTCTGAGGGACAGTTGGCTAAAATTTTTTCCCAATTTGTGGGTTTACTTTTCACCCTGTTGGTGATTTCTTTAGATGTTCAGAGACTTTTCAATAAGATGAGATCCCAGTTGTTGATTCTTTGAAGTATTTTCTGTGCAGTTTGGTTTTTGTTCATGAACTCTCTAGCTATTCTTATATCTTCAAGACTTCCACCTACTTTCTCTTCCACTAGATCTAGTGTTTCTGTTTTAATATTTAGATCTTTAAACCATTTTGACTTTATTTTGGTGCATGGTGATGTTTTGATTTATGTAATACTGGGAATTGAACCCAGTTAGCACTGACTACATCCCCAGTTCTTTTTAAACTTTTTTTTTTTTTGGTACTGAGAATTGAACTCAGGACCTTGCACATGCCAGGCAGGTGCTTGTGCCACTAAACTATATCCCCAACCCTCTTTTTGAACTTTGAGACAAGCTTATGCACAGTTGACCAGAGCAAGCTTGAATAAGTACAAATTCTTTTTTTTTTTTTGGTACGGGAATTGAACTCAGGACTTTGCGCTTGCAAGGCAGGTGCCTGTGCCACTGAGCTATATCCCCGGCCCACACCAGGGTAAGCTTGAACTGTGATCCTCCTGCCTCAGCTTTGCAGCTCAAACTGCAAATTTGAGTTGGAACAAGAATGACTCAGGATGGCTTGCTTTCCATTCGTCCACTGCATGGTTTGGTGCGAGGGTGTCCCGCAGGCAGTGGCTCAGCTCTGCTGCCTGGTGACAGTCACTTTACAGCAAGGAAGAGGGAGGTGCAGTGCAGAGGAAGAGGGGGTCAGAGGTGCCTCGGGTGGGGGGGAATGGCTCTGCTGCCTGCAGGTAGACATCTGCCTGTCTGCTCCTCCTCGACAGTTTGGGCTCCTCCCTGCACCCACAGAGTTGTTTCTCGTCTTCCCACCCCCAGGCTTCCTCCCCTTTTCTCCCATGTGCCATCCTGGAGTTGTATTCTGTTCTCTTTGTCCTGGTCCCTCCTCTGCATCCCCCCGCATGCCCTCTGTCACTCAGGGTCCACAATCCTCCTCCAGGAACATCGTCCTCCGCCTCACATTGTCACGTCACATGCCAACCTTCTGCAGAGCAAACGCCTTCAGCTTTTCCACTCTGCAGCCTCCAAAGCAGGGCTCTGCATCCAGCGGATCACACCATGGTGCAGTGATGTCAAGGTGAAATGTGCCTAGGAGGCTGCAATGTCCGGGCCACTCTAGGGACCCCACAGAGGCACTGCGGGCAGATGGCATTGACCCCAAAGGATACTCTGAAGGCAGCCACAGTTAAAGGTGTCGGAATGTGGTTGGCAGAACTAACGTGAGGCCAACACAAGGGACATGAAGTCAGATAACGCCAGTCAGGAATGGAGACAGTGAGCCCCACAGTTCCCAGGAAGCAGAGGATGAGCAAGCAGAGGAATGTCCTGTCTATGACCATGGCAGTGTACTTCCGGTCTTCCTTCACCTGCAGGCACAAGGGGCACATGTGACAGAGGCCAGGCCCTAGGAAGGAGAAGCACCCTTCCCAAGCGCGGCCACAGTAGGGAGAGATACAGGGGCAGCAGCAACGGCATCGCTGACCTGCGAAGCGCAGGTCAGTGGGGTGCGGGATAAACAGGGTTAGTTCCAGTCTCCTCAACCATCCAAAGGTCTTGTCCTATCCCGTGGGGTCCACAGCAGGAAAGATCAAGTTCTTCACATTTGGCCTTATTTGGAGAAGAAAACACAGGGTTGTCTCCATCGTACAGAACTATAAAAATCGGTCACTAAAATTCTCCTTTAAGTTTGGGTGCCAGGTATTTTGTCTCAGCAGTGAGCAAAGTAAGTAAAACACTCAAGAAGTGCTTGAAACTGTCAAAAATTCAGAGCATGAGCCGCGATGCAATCCACGATGCATTTTTGTGACATCTTTGAGGATATCATCTAGTTTTTTGCTGCTTTCCCTGGCACAGAGATTCTTGATGTACTATACAATGAAACTGAATCACTGGATATTTCGCTTATTTAACAAAGAACTACTCGAGAAGCTGAGGCAGAAGGATCATTGCGAGTTCGAGGCCAGCCTGGGCTACAAAGTGAGTTCAAGAGCAGCCTGACCTGCATAGTGAGACCCTGTCTCAAAAAGACAAACAAACAAAAAAAACCTATATGAAACTATATGTTGTTCCCACCATGCAAGGTGCCCCATCACTAGTAATTGAAACCACTTTTTCTGGTCTTGTGACAAAAAAAAGCCTCTGTCACAGCATTGTACATATTACCTACCCCCTGTGTTCTTCCAGGCAAAGACACCAGCTTCACCAGCTCTTCTCTCATGACGTCACCAACAACATAACACAAATTACTGCTCGCCTTGCATGATTGTTTATACCTGTGCCTTCATCCGTGCACACGGAGTAACAGGCTGCCTTTTGTAAGTCAGTGGCGAGCTCCTGACTAATATCACTTGCCACAAGCAGTATTCAATCTTTAACAGAATTTCTGCTAAATGGCACCACAGAGATACGTTGCATAATTTTATCCTTGTTTTAGAATTTACCAAGGGCTGATCAGACCCTCAGATGCCTGTAGGGGGAATGATGGGGAATAAAGACAGGAAGACAAATTTCAGGTACAAGGGGGACTGGGAGGAGTTCGCTTCCTGTGGAATGACTTGGCTACCTCTGTGGTTGGCTAGTTTTATTGGCTAGCAAGAAGCGCAGGGGTGGGGGTAGCATACATTTCATGGGACAGTAACTATAGAAAGTGGGTGGATAAGGATTAAATTAATGAGGAACCAGATTTTCTCTAAACCCAAATGCCTGTATTTTGACAACTGTTCTCAGCAAATGCTATCTTGCTTCAGGAGTGCAGAGTTAATAGCATTACACCTATAGCCAGGGGGCATGTGACTTTCCTATACCTCCCTGCTCTGAAGCAAGGTCACTCCAACCTCAGGACTGCAGGGAGTTTAAGTCACATAGTTGGGCCCTCCACAATCTATGCCATGGCCTGTTCCTCAGTAGGAAATCATGAAAAAGGGAAATGACTCCCGGACAACATGGCCTTTCTGATAAAATCCCCATCAGAGAGGAGCTAAACATGTTTTGCTATGCACAGTAAAATTTGAAAGTTGGCAGCTATCAGATGAAGTTTTAGAAAAATAGTTGCAAAAGCTAAGATACTGGAGCTGGGAGTGGAGGCGCATGCCTGTAACCTCAGCACTCAAGAGGCTGAGGCAGGAGGATCACAATGAGTTTGAGGCCCTTGTGAGCTACATAGTGAGCTCAAGCCATCCTGAACTACATAGTGAGACCCTGTCTAAAAAAAACCAAAAAACAAAAAAGCAAATCCCCCCCACAAAATTAAAATACTGGGAATGATATTTCTTCAATTTCCCTTCAAGAAACACTTTTCCTTGCAGTTTCACCAAGTTTGGCAACACTTTTGTGCTTGATGTCAGAGTGCCATCTGACAGTTGATGTGTGACACGAAACACTTTCATCACACAACACATAATGCTTTCCCATTGTGTTCAGTCACTCGAAGTGACTCTGTCCAGCTTCTTGGGGTGATCTTCCACTATCTGTTCTCAGTTTTGCTTTGTGGTTTTTTGTTTTTTGTTTTTTGTTTTTTGCGATAGTCGTCTTTTGTTGTTCAAGACTTAGAGTCTATAAAAACACAAAATTAAAAGAAAAATGAAGCCCCCAACCCAAATCTATCTCTATACCAAACATAGCTACCACTATTAGTTAATACTAAAGAATTGGATATTCCCTGAATAGACAATCTATGGCTGTGACTCTCAGCTGGGCTTCCTCTTGAATTTGCTGACCACCAGCACAAGGGGGCAGTGTTCCACTGACCACCAACTTCTGGCCTGCTCTGAAAAAGGCCTCTGAGTGTATTTCCCACCTTGTGGGAAATACATACATCCTTGGACTGGCAGAATATATATGCCCCTGCTTTTGTTTTCATAAATTCTTTACAAAAAAACTAATATGATGCTGCAGATTCAAATATGCCAGGGGGTCAATACAACATGAAAAAACTCTCAGTCTCTTCATTAGAACATCTCTTTGCTAAATCGTAGATATTAAATTTCAGTTTTTCATAAGAAAACTGAAAGGTAAAACTTGTGTTGATAAAAACAAGTGTAGTAAAACTCACAGCCTGTCCAAACAAATATGTATATACACACACACATACCCTTAGCAGCACACTGGCGGGCCATGTGAAAGCTCAGACAACGCATAGGTAATGAGTCTCAGATCATGACGTCATCATCTAGTGCTGCTATTCCTTTCCAAGCAGGTGCACGGTCAACCATGCACTGCTTGGTTGTCGGGGTGATGCTGAAATTTTCTTGTGGTTTAAAATATGAGGTGATGCTGGGGATACTTGGCTTGCATGCCAGCAGAGAGTGCTCTATGTGCCTGCAGTGGCATGTGTGCCATAGGTTGGCCACCACTGACATAAGGTATTTGCAGTTCAAATGTTTCCCTGCATTGTGGTTTAAAAAAATTCCAGACCAAATGTTCTCAGTAAAGTCCTAACTCAGAACCTATTCTCGGTATGGGATCACCCTCACACCTAAATTCCATGAGGGGGTGTGATATAGTTAGGTTAATCCTACAGACAGTGAACATGGATGCTCAAAGCTCTTAGATTCTGATTTTTGTTTGTTTGTTTGTTTTTTTCCGGTACCAGGAACCGAACTCATGACCTTGCACTTGCCAGGCAGGCACTTTTGCCACTGAGCTAAATCCCCAGTCCTAGATTCTGATTTTAGTGTTTTCTTGGTCAAGACTCTTTAAATTTGGGAAGTTCTTAATATCTTAATATCTTGGCGTGTTTCATTTTCAGGGATGATGATGATTTTGATGACAAGGAAACAGAAGAGAAAGGTCCAGTGAAGAAAGTAAGTAAATAAAATACTATAAGATTATCAAAACTAGCTAATAACGGAAATGATGGAATAGCTAATAACTATTGAGGGAATATTGATGGAAATGATGGAAATTTTAGAAATTGCCTTTCACTTGGTTTTTGTTTTAGTTTTTTGTCTTTTTTGAGACAGGGTCTCACGGTGCACTTGAGCTCATTTTGTAGCTCAGGCTGGCCTTGCCCAGCAAAAGCTTTTTTTTTTTCATACTGGGAATCGAACTCAGGACGCTACTCTTGCCAGGCAGGCACTTATGCCACTGAGCTGTCTCCCCAGGCCACCTTTCACTTGTTTTGTAGCAGTGAGTAGCACAGGGACCTTTGAAGGCCTGTGTGAGGAAGAGGTCAGTTAAGGGGACTCCAGGAGATGAACTCCCTTCCTTGACAATGGACCAAATTGAAGTCAGACCTTGGTTGCCGGGCACCCACATCCCATGGCCAACTGCAGCTGGCCCCCTTGTCTGGAGACTCAGGACATGTCAAGATGCTCTTATGATGTCTCCCAGCTTGCACAGGGGAGGATGTGGCCACATTTGGAGGCAGTAGGCCACCATCATTTCTGAGACCCATGACCATTTTCCCAGGGGAGTTCAAATGTGACACAGAGCAGCTGAGAGTCTTGTGAGCCACCATACTGAATTGTGATCCCTCCTGAATGGGCCCAACCCATCCCTGGTTGTGTGTGTGTGTGCCCATGTCTTTTTACCAGCGTGCATGCATGAGTATTTAAAATCTTTCTGTGCTATTTCACTTAACCATATGACACTGAATTCTTTTGCAGTTTGCTGATGCTACGGTTTACATCTGCAATGTCTCCTAGAAGGTCCACGTGTTCAGAGGTGCGGCTTTCAGAAGGTGATTAGACACGCAGGTGATGTACTCAACAAGGGTTAAACCACTGATGAGCTCCTAGCTCAGTGTGCTGTTAGGAGGTGCAGCCCGTGTTGGAGGTGGGGAGCTGCTGAGGGCATGACTTGGAAGAGTAGATTCTAAGTGGGCTCCTCCCTTTCCCTCTCTCTCTCTCTCTCTCTCTCTCTGTCTCTCTCACATTCTCTCTCTCTCTCTCGCTCTCTGCTTCCTGGTTGCCATGTGTTGAGCACCTCTCCTCCACCGTGCCCTTCCACTATGCCATTTCTGGCTTGAAGTCAGCCAGACATAAACTCGGACCATGAGCCAAAATGAACCTCTTCTTTAAACTGTGTCAGATTATTTTGTTCCAGTGACAAAAAGTGACCAATATAGCTATAGTTTCCATGTTTGAACCTCCCTGTTTGGCCTACCTCACAGCAAAAGTGAGTCTGGTTCAAGCCTAGCTGTGCATGCCTATCTGGAAATTCTCCAAGCACACCCAGAAGGGCATGGTGAACCTCCTGGTGCCTTTTCTGCTTCACAAGAACCACTTTCTCCTCCACAGTTTCTAGCAAAGCTACCAATCATTTGCTACCACACAGCAAGCGATGGACCTGCTGTTGAAAAGGATCCTGCCCAGCTTGTATGCCAAGGGGCTCACCACCCTCTGTTTAGGTCTTGGGAATGACTCGCGCTTCTCTATACCCCAGTTTGCTATGTAGAAACTGGGGTATTCAGAGGAACCAGCTCTGAAGTGGTGTTGTCAGAACCAAGGAAGATGAGTTCTGGAAGTGCCTGTCCTTGGGCAGGTACCGCATGGGGGGTCACCCAGGCCTGTAGGCCTCTCCTGCATGCCTTTCACCCCTGCCCCTGAAAAAGCTTTCAGCCTTGCACCTCACTTACCTGAGGCCTCAGACAAAGCAGTTTCCCCATTGGTAATGGACATTTTAGTTTCCATCTTGGGGATCCCTGTCCTAGAAGTAGCCAGAGCAGGAACCCTGAGGGTGAACTGAGGGGCCTGGGGTACACTGAGGTACCCACAAAGAAGCTGGTTGATTTCATTTATTGCACACACATATATGATGCACCTATTGTATACAGGCATGTTTTGGGTACTTAGCATAATTCAGTGTAAAAGGCAAGAAAATACCTTCTCTCCCAGGATCCATTTCTGCGTCATCCACTGACATAAGAAGTCACAAGTGCAGTACATGTGCTACTGGTCACTCAGGTCCATATGCTCAGTGTGATAGCTTGCCACTGAGCAAACCAAAGGATGCCATTTATTTTGGTGAGAAGAAAGCCTTTATTCAAGGCTCGCTCTGAGGAGATGGAGGGGTCTCACTTGCTTCAAAGCATTTTCTCCTCATGTCCAACTGTGCAAGGCTCTTTTATAGTAAAGAACAGTGAGGAGAGGGACTACAGCCACACACTACACGTCTCCAGGCTTCCTCCGTGCTTCCCGGCTTTCATCTGCTCCCTCACTCCCTGTGGAAATGAAATGGGGCCTCAACCTGTGCCGCCAGCATCTGCGCAGTCTGTCCCTTGATCTGGGCTGAGGAGAGGAGGGAAGGGATTTACATCTTAGGCCTGAGGAGGTGTGATGAAGCCACTTGTCTCTAAAGGAAAACACTCTGACTTTAAAGTTCTATTTTTCTGTTCTGGTTACAGATGTCACACTCTCGTGGCCTCCCCCTAGAAGCACCCGAATCCTGTCTCACTCCAGCAAGGGTAGTGGGCCTCGGGACAAACTGAAAAGGTGAGCTTCGGGTCAAGATGGAGGGCTTGTTTCCAAGAGTAGAGCAATGGGAAGCTTGGACTGTAGCAGCTGGAGCAAACGGCGGCTCTGGTACTTGTGATTCCTGCTGGAAGGCTGCCCGGGGCTTGGTCTGCAACAGGAGGAAAACAGAGCGAAGGGTGGGGATCAGGCCACCCGGAGAACAGAGGGGAGACTGGGGCTGTGAGCCAGGTTCTGTGAGGCTCCATCTCCCCCGCACGCCATTCCAGCAAGCCACGCAATCCCTTCCCTCTCTGGAACAGAGACCATTTGGGGAGCAGCGTGCTTACACCTGACCTTGCTTCGCGGTGATGGATCCTCAGCTAGTTCCCAGGGGACTCAGTGGCTGCAGCTGGCAGCTGCACCCCTCCGGAGAAGTGCCTGGGAAGACAAGACCCACACATCTCAGGGAGCGTGAGGCAGCCTGGCAGCGTGAACTTCACACTGAGGTGTCACCAGCATCCTGCGAACTGTGAATGCTGGGTGCAGCACAAACCTTCATGGAGTTTACATTCCGGAGAGCAGGAGCTGAGTTCTGTACAGGAGTGTGTGGGCTTCCCCGAAGAAGGGGAGAGCTGGTCCTGCATTTGGTTGGGGTCTCCCTCAGATGGAGGTTCTCTGGAACCCCTGGCCAGCCTCTCCCTGGACAGTCTCGGACTCGTGAGGAGCTTGACCGGCCTCTGGATGGATAGGAGAGTGTGGGAGCCCCACAGGGGCACCGTGGGAGGCCACGAGGAAGGGGAGGTCAGGTTCCTAACACTCCTGGGTTCCGAGCTCATGTTTCTATCTAAACCTCAGCTCTACTGTTGCACACTTGTGAACCCTGAGGCTTCTGCATAGCCACCTTGGGACCAACCATGCTTCCCCAGTGAGGGACGATGAAGATGCAAGGAGCAGGACAAACAGCCTTGGTAGGCCTGGCCCGTCGGGGAACAGTGCTCACCACAGTGCACCCAGGATATGTACCATCTGCACAGGACACCCAATTGGCCTCAGCACTTATTAGGCACCTGCTGTGTACTGGAGCCCACAATCCACACTTAAAGTTAAGTTCCTAGTTGTGGTGGTAGTGGCAGTAGTAGTAATCTTAATAATAGTAGCACTAGTAGTAAATGTATACCTGAGCATGAAAACAGACATGGAGGAAGCAGAAGGCGCTGTCTGTTCCATGTAGCCCTGAGCCATGTTCTGTGCATTAATAAACACTGAGCGGGAAAAATAGCACTCTTTCTTTCCTGCTGTCATTTCAGCCTGTGTCACTCCTATTCCGGGTACTATAGTGGTCAAGGAATAGAACACAGAGACTTCCATAAGGTTTGAGCTGTATCCTTGGCTCCTGAACTCTAGCCCTGGGCTCAGTCCTGGGCCTAGGGGACTGTGGCCTGCAGTAGGACTTGGTAACACTGACCCCTTCTCAGGAACTGTTGAATAACAAGGTTCCTACCCTTCTCCAGGCTCCACCTGGTCCCAGGGGAACAACAGAGGCATGGAACATCTGACTTTTATCATCTGCACCACCATCAGTCAGTTTTACAACTGGCCACAGGTATGACAACCTCCCTGCTGGACTGCAGCATGAAGGCCCCAGACAGGGTCCAGGTGGTGCAGCGCCAGATCAATGCAGTGGGATATACTGCTTTCACCTTTATCTGCTCTCAGGAGCGGTCCACGCTCAGAGCCCCTATAGAGACCATGCTTTATATGATAATGGCCTGGACTTTCATGTCCCATTGCCTGGATACTCGCTCTCTCCTGACACTCTTTCTATGGGTTGAACTGAAATTTTGCTTTCTGCTACCTTTTGGGTACCAGCCCTCTCAACATCAGCCTTGTTGGGGAAATGGCTAAAATATGATGAGTCATCTGGAATGCACGTGTTCACTAAAATTACCATGACTACATGCCTTTCTACAGGGACGCTATCTCCTCAGAAAAGAGTATAGAGAGATAACTGTCAACACCCACAGGGCTGACTATTCCCAGGCCCCTCTGTGTACCTACGAGAGGGCCTATGAGGTGACAGCATCATCTTGCGCTATTCTTGCCCCAAACACATAACTTACTTCAATCATGAGAAAACATCTGAGAAAGCCAAATGAAGGGATGCCTGACAACAAAACTGATCAATATTTTTCAAAAAGTGTCAAAGTCATGAGAAGTAGGGAAAAACTGCATGCTGGTTAGACCACAAGGGACCAAGATAAATTAACAGCTAACTGCAATATGGGGTCCAAGAGAGGATCCTGGGGCAGAAACAGGCCAGTAATGGAAATCTGCTAAGACTAAAGGGTTTTAGTTAGTAGCAGCTCACCTGTGACTTCCTGGTTTTCCTCATACAGACATGGCTGACAATTTGGACAGTGCACTGCTGGATAACTGTTCTAAGACATACACTAGGGCACGCTGGGTGATAGATACATGCAAAGTCTTGGTCCACACAATCAGCAAAACAACAAAGTAAAAAAGAATGTTAAATTTGAAGAAAGCAGAAATTAGCTGTGGTCTAAGCTAAGTAAATAAACTACATATAAGGTGCCAAATCACAACAAAACTAAAGCAAACAACCCTCTCGACTCTTCCCAGGCTGGGCTCATCAAGTCTCCACATGCTAACACTGCAGATGCAAGGCCTTGAAGGTCCTCAAGACTGTGATTTCCAGCACAACACACAGGGAACGGAGAAGAAGTAATAGCACCCGAGCAAAAGGCTGTACAACAACCTATTTTGTCCCTGCAAGGCAGTCAGGTGGTGGAGAGGACAGAACCCACACACTGCCCTGCAGCTGTGGAAGAAAATGGTGGCTAATAGTCATAGAGCAGGAGAGACTCCATTTTCTGTTTTTAACTCCATATTAAGAGAAGTCACTTAAAGTTCACTTAAGCTGTAGTTCACCCTAGTCCTCTTAGTTAGTTATCAACTCAGCAGAGCAGAGTCGTAAAATGGGAACAGAACAAACAGGGCTAAAAGTTAAACTGCAATGGTTATTTGGAATTCGGTTGTCTGACCTTCCAGGAGAAGTAAACTTTGTCATAATTGTGTGACATTCTTGTAAGATTCCCCAAAATGAGGTTACTATAGAAACCTAAGGAGAGACCCAGATTGGCACAGACATCTTCTCTGGCTCCTGGTGAGAGACTGTCCATCAGCCGGCTCTTATAAAGCTTTGTTCATTCCTGCCTTTTTGTTTTTCTTGTGAGTGCCTTTCTCAGTGGACTTGCTTGCCTTATCAATAGCAGGCAAACTCTCCAGAAGCGGGAGGACCCTGAGGATTTCCCCTCAGCACACAAGGCACTTACTAAAAATGCACTGTGACAAGCCGAGCTGTCAGCTTCCTACTGAAGCCAGTGTAACAGTAATGATTGCCACAGATGAAGACTCCATGCTTCTGACAGGAATCTTGAGCACTGAAACACAACTGAAGCAAACTATGCTGATAGCAAAGGGTCTCCATGCTTCTTTCCCTTTGACAGAGACAGAGACAGAGAGAAATGGACACTGTGATGACCCAAGGCTCTGGGCCTCAGGGAACACTTAACGCTGCAAGTGTGCCTTCTAGCTGTGCTTTTCTAATTCTGCCCAATTCTGTTCTTGTCCCAAGTGTGGGAGCCTGAACTGCATGAGCATCTTGCTCGTTTCCTCCATGATCTTTACATTAGTTACAAAACTCAAATCAAGGAGAAACAGTAGTCCCTGTGCAAACTATCTTCAATGCACCACCATCATTCATGGTGCCATGGATAGTGCCATGGATCACTCAAGACGGAATACTAATTGAATTTGGAATGTCAAGGGAGGGCACAAATACTAAGAAAGGCAATAGTGTCTTCTCAGGTTTTCTTTTTTTTTTTTGCAGTACTGGGGATTGAACTCATGACCTTGTGCTTGCCAGGCAGGCACTTATGCCACTGAGCTATATCCCCAGCCCCAGGTTTTCATTTAGACTAAGTAAGACTACAGGAATCTCAGTGTAGGCAAATAGCTGTGCTCAGTAGACCCTAGTAATTTTGGGCTGCTATACAGTTCCCTGTGCCTCTCTTCACCTCTTCATCCCTCTCACAGCAGCTACTTTGAGACAGCACTCCCACCCTTGGTCTGGCTGAAGTTAAGGCTGGGGCTGAGTCTTGCCTGGACGAGGCTTATTGTTCTATGCTGAAGGGAGCTCTGCCCCTCTGAACAGCCTCCTCTGGGTGCACTCTCCTCACCCACTCCAAATCCTAAGGATTCTGTGTCCCCGTGGTGGCTGGTAGTGGAAACAGGTGTCAATTCCACAAAAGCTCTGGAAATCCCACATGACTGTTTTGGTTCCTCATTGATATAGGGGCGATGGAAGAGGTAACCCTTAGGGAAGGTAGCCCAGATCCTGCTGGGGTCCTTGTGGTGGAGTTACCTTCTACAGCAGTCTGCAGTGTGGACACGCTCAGGAGAGAGCTGATGTAGCTGGTGATGGCAGACAGATGGGGTATGGCAGTATGGCAGCAGAGCACCCAGGGTTCAGGGACCATGCAGGTTCTGCTCACCTGCTGCTGACTGGCTAAATTTCCCGAGGGTGGGTATCTGGACAGCAGTGCAGCCTCCAGGTCAGAGCTTCCTGGTTGGTTGGTTGGGCGGATCCCTGGAGATGAACTAAACCTTAGGCGTTCTGGGAATCAGCTACAAATGCCTCCCTGGGAAGCAGGTCAAGGGTGCAACTCCATGGCAAGAGGGCGTCCCTTTCTTTATAGGGTTGTGACTTTTGAGGAGCAGAATACTGCACTGGGACGGGGGGGGGGGCTCCACCACCCCCCACAGTGGATGCAGGGTGGGAGCCAAAGGCTCTGGACACAGCTGCCTCAGAGTCCTGTGGGTAAGTGGAAGAGGAGCAAGGACAGTGAGGGATACTATCCCCAAGGAGGTGGATGTCATACTCTACCTCTGCCAAGGTGAGGAGTGTGAGCAGGATGGGTGCATGCTTTCCTCACCCACCCTCAGGGTCACAGCTGGCACAGAGCAACAAAATACAGATTGTTGAGACAAAGTAGATCACATTTATTTAACTGTTGTAGGAGACAGAGGAACCTTCAAAATGAAGGCCCAACAACCTAAAGTAATGTACTTTTATGCTGATGAGAAAACAAGTAGAGAAATCTACCTTGAAAAGGACAACTGACCTGCTAGTGATGAACCAGGGCCCCAGCCCTGGGTTGCTGTGATCTTTCCTGTCTGTTCCCTGGCCACGGGGAGGACATTTGTCACAGGAGTACTTCAAAGGGAGACCAAGAGCAGTTATGCTGGGATCTACAGAGGACTTCTAGAGGGAAATTATAGTTCCTATGACCACTTCAGGGACAGAGGGCAGGAGAAAGTTGGATGGAACTTGCTGCTGTGCTGTCCTCTCTTCTGCACCTTGGCCATATACATGCTGAGGGCAGAGCTGTGAGGTGTACACTGATCCACAGGAGACTGTAATACTGGGTATGGCACTGCCCGTGAGAATGGCTGGTTTACGGTAAGTGCCCTGTATTTTTAATGATCATAGTAGCAAGACTTAAGTATATTAACTCCAGGTTATTTTATTGCTTTCCTTTCCTTTAAGGTTCCCCTGGGTCAGACTGTCTCATGTTTTAAATGAACCAGTTAATGTTCCTCTAAGATTGTACTGAGCTTTCATGTACATAGGTAATACTTTAATTACAAAGATGTGTACTTAAACTGTCTATTGCTGACCAGTGTTATGGTTTGTGTCTGGATGTCCCCCAAAAGTGTCATGCAATTATGGGGTAGACTTCAAGTTTGTGATTGATCCATGGTCCAATGCTGGGATTATGGGTGTGAGTGCTACACCAACCCTGGGGCAGGTAGCTTGCATACAATGTAAGGGAGGGAAAGAGGCTGCTTGCTGCTACTCCTCTCCCGCTTTTTCTTTGCTCCTCCCTTTTTGCTTTTGCTGTTCTCGCTGTTTTCTGCCACCATGAACTGTTGCCCTCTGCCATGAGCCACTCTGCCCTGCAGCCAGCCGAGTATGGACTGAAACCTCCACAAGCTGTGAGCTAAACAGATCTTTCCTTCCTTAATTTTGAGTGTTGACTATTTTGTCTCAGCAACGAGAAAAGTAACCAAGACACCAGTCAGGTGTTATTTTTCCACCTTATAATTCTGGAAGGTTTATTCCCATTCTCTCAATAGGAAAACAGAAACGTCCTAGGTACTGAATCCGTCTATCCTATATGGTACAAGAGGGCCAACCACAAGCTCCTAATGCTCCTCAATTCTAAGGCACTGAAACTACTTGAAGCCACAAGGCTGATGCTTAAAAGGCACATTAGAAAGGTGCGTTTTGTTGTAGAATGACTTGGCTGAACTGGTGATAAATCTGTGCAAAGTCCATATTTAATGAAATCCCAATGATGAAAGCTCATACAGTTAGACCCTCATTAATGACTGGCTTAACAACTTGGGTTATAACTGGAATTTTAGGCTTAACTTATGACCAAAGTCAAGTTACAACCCAAATGCCAGCTGCTTGTAAACAAAGACAATGCCAGAAAAGCATCTGTAAGTATCAGTCTGAGCTCAGATGTGCATGTTTGTGGGCATGATTTCAGTCAGTGCTTTACATAATTGCTACAGTACACAAAAGAACAGTTAGAGAAAAGATAGAAACAGACAACCTTAAACCAGTGTTTAGTTCTGAAAAGGCTGAGACCTAGGGAGCCAGAAGCAGGTCTTAGTGGACTACAGACTCTCTCAAGGAGAGAAAGGACACCAGAGAACCAGATTCCTGCTGTTCTTACAGGAGCGGACTCTCCTTCCGAACAATAACCCCCTTTCATTTCATCCTGCCTTCCTGCAAGCCAAAGATGTCAACTTGAATGCTGAGGACACTATGAAACTGTTTCTGGCAAACTAGACACAATTTATAACTTTTTGGTGAATACACTAGAAAATAATTATTAGCATTTCTGGAAAATTTCAGACATACAACCCTTTTTTTTCTTATGAAAAACTTAAGGGGTACTTTGGGAGATTTGGAATGCATTATGGGTATATCCATCATTTCTTATGGGAAAAAATCTTGAGTTACAACCAGCCCTTGTGAATGAATTAAGTTTGTAAGTCAAGTGTCCACTGTATTTTAAAATGTCAGGCTTACAACTTAAGACTTTTCTAACCTTTAAATTCATCCTAGATAAGCATAACCAACTTTAGCAAGGTGTCTGTGATATAGGGGGGAAAAAAACTTCCAACCTGAATGATATTTGGGATGGGTTCCTGTTCTCTAAAATGGAAGAATGAATTTTAGGAACAATGGAGGTTAAGAGCAGAATATATTTACTGAAGGAAAGAAAGCTTCTGTCCAAGAGAGGGACAGAAGGAGGACCTGAGTGGGTTGCCCAGGGAACCTGTCTTTTCCAGGGACTTTTATAGAGCAAAACCACAAGGTAAGGTAGGCCCAAGGTTGGAGAAAAAAGGGGAAACTACAAGGTGGGCATGAGGTGGGACATCAGCCAGTAAGATTACAAGTATAATTGTTCAGATAAAACTGATTAAACTGGGATCAAATGGGGACTCACGTAGCAAGCAGGCATGAATACAGAACAGGGGCTTTTCCTGTAGAGGGTTGAGTCAGTGACTCTTCAAGGTGATTGCTACCTAGTTAGAATATCAATCCCTGATGTCCATCCATAGGGAGGTAAGTGGGTGCATTTATTTAGTCTTTTGCCTTGAGGTCTGGCCTGCAGCAAATACGTCTTCATTTGCAAGGTATCTTGTCTTCCATACTGGCTCCTTCCAGGGCCAGGTCCTGTCTGATTGCCTATACTATTTCTATCTATAACATTTGTGGCCAACCAACCAACAGTCTTCCCTGCTATGATGATTGTCAAGTATGAGACTGGCTATTAGAGATCAAGGGATCACTGGTCCACCAAGCCCCTTCAGTGACGCATAGGGGGCTGCTGTGTGATGAGGGTGAACACCTCATGTGAGATGCACATAATGAGGGGAGGGCCCCATCAAGTGGGTTCTACCTGCATAGAGATGGGAGCTCAGGGTGTGGCACACACTGGCCTTTTTGGTCATCACCTCTGCAGGTTATCTGCCCAACAGTTGTCAGGTAGGTGAGTGAGATAGTAGGCAACAAGATGGAGACACTTATAAAAAAAATTCTTAAAATCTCTGAACAGATCATAAAAATTTTATAAACATTTATGTATTAATCCTTTTAAGATCTTTCATAAGTAACGAGTGGAAAAAAAGCACATTTAGTATAGGGAGATTTTAGAGAAGGAACCATGACATTTGATGTAGATAAATTTAGTATAGACAACACATTTTTCAAATAGATGAGGTTTCTGGTTTGCTAATAAAGGACCAACTCTTTAAAAAAAAAACTTTTGTTTCACAAATTCCCATCCCTTATCAGTAGATACAAACTCATAAACTCATAACCATAATAAATATTTCTACAGTTCTCTTATTTATAAAGTTTAAAATTAAATTTTAAGGTTACTATATTTCAGTCAATGTAAATTAATGTCAAACTCTATGCATTTTAGGCCCAAATGTGACACATGGAAAGTAATTAGGATAAAATTTCGTAACTTGAAATTTAGGATTCAAACATCTACTGCTTGTTATTACACTTCTATAATCATAATTTCAAAAACACAAAATAAATAATTTAAAGAAGTAACATTGTCCAAACTGTGTGAAGTTTAACGGCCCTGGGTTCATGTTGAATTAGGACTGAACCTCCATTAAAGGTCTTGCCACAATCTTTGTATTTGCAGGGTTTCAACTACTACTGACTTTGAGAAATTCTTTACAACTGTAGGGCTTTTATCCAGTATAATTTCTGTAATGTAGAGTAAGTGTTCTTTCCACTGGAAAGTGTTCTCTCCATTGTTATGCATTCTGTTAAGTTGAGCCATTTGAAATGCTGCCACATTGTTTACATTTGTATGGCTTCTCTCCATTAATAATCATCAAGTATTTACTAAAGACAGTAGGAAAGTTAAAGGTTATGCCACACTGTTTGCATCTGAAAACATTCTATCATGTATGCATTCTCTTGTGCTGAGTGAGATGTGAGCACCGAATAAAGGCTTTACCACATTCCTTGCATTTGTAAGGCTTCTCTCCACTATGAATTCTATGATGTCGTGTAAGACTTATATCGTGTCTGAAGTCTTTGCCACACTCTTTACATTTGTAGGGCTTCTCTCCAGTATGGATTCTCTGATGTCGACTAAGGACAGAAGAATAGCTAAAGGCTTTCCCACATTCTTTGCATGTGTAAAGTTTTTCTCCATCATGAATTCTACGGTGTAGAGAAAGGGTAGACCAAGTACCAAAGGTTCTACCACATTCTTCACATTTGTACGTGTTCTCTCTAATATGAACTCTCTGGTGTAAAGAGAGGTTTGAGCGCTTGTTAAAGGCTTTGCCACATTCATTACATTTGTAAGGTTTCTCTCCAGTATGAATTCTCTGATGTTGAGTAAGATTTGAGCCACGAGTAAAGAATTTGCCACATTCTTCACATTTGTAGGGTTTTTCACCAGTGTGAATTCTCTGATGTCGAGTAAGGTGTGAACGACAGTTAAAGGCTTTGCCACATTCTTCACATGTGTATGGCTTCTCTCCAGTATGAATTTTCTGATGTAGAGTAAGGTGTGAAAACCAGTTAAACGCTTTGCCACATTCTTCACATCTGTATAGCTTCTCTCCATTATGGATCCTCTGATGATGACTGAGGTATGAGCAATTATTAAAGGCTTTCCCACATTCATTACATTTATAAGGTTTCTCTCCATTATGAATTTTCTCATGTCTAGTAAGATTTGAAGAACTTTTAAAAGCTTTACCACATTCTTTACAACTGTAGATTCTTATATCTAGATTTTGACTGGGTGATAATGGATGGGTAAATAACTTCCCATATTCATGAAAATTATTTACCTTGGTACTGGGTAGATATACATCTTGGTATTGCTGATTACAGAATAAACCTTTCATGAAAGAACCAAACTCATCACATTTAGGAATTTGCTCTTCACTTTTAAATTTATTGTCTACTGAAATGAATGGTTCAAAATTTAATCCAATACTATATTTAATACTTTTCAAGTGATGAATGGAAGCATGGGCTGATCTCATTCTTAGATTTCCCAGATTTCCTTTAAGAGAATAGGCATGTTTCAAAATTTGATGTGAACGTTCACCTACAAAAATATATGGGTCTTTAACTGTAGCAGGTACAAACTTCGTTTTTTTCTGAAATGTTCTATGTTCTTCATCTCTGCTGGCAACGAAGGCTGTGCTTTCTTTTGTTGTCACAAATTTGTTACAACCATTATAATATGCATTCTGATCTTCATAGTCACCCACATTTTCCCATTCTTTTTTGAAGTGTAAGTTGTCATGGCCACAAATACTGTGCCTTTCCTTTGTCACATTTTGGAGTGAATGTTTTCTGCCATTTTCTGATGAAATGCCTTGGGTAAAATGAGAAGACATAGCTGAAAGAAATCAGAATAACAAATTATGCCACATACGACACTGGTGAATAGTTTACAAATCTAATACATAAAATTATATCAATTTTGGGCATGGTGATGAATTCCTGTAATCTCACCCCTCAGTAAAATTGAAGCAGGTAGACTGCAACTCTGAGCCCAAGTGAGAAATCAGTGGGACTCGCCCAATAAAAGCTCAGTGTGAGGGCCCTGTGTTCAACTAATTTTATATAGGGGTGTGTGTGTGTGTGTGTGTATACACAATTATACACACACACACCTATATAAAAATATAACATATATACATATTAGATCAATAACACATACATGAGATACAAATGACATACTAATATACAGTAAAACCTTAGATGGCAAGACTAATTCATTCTGTTCATAATCCAAAGCAGTGAGAGCAAGACAGAGAAAGCATTAGTTATGATCATGTGATATTTGGCATGACATACCACTCATACTGCTCACTCATTTATGAAGTTAAAGTTTATTAGAAATGTTTGCTCATCTTGTGAAACACTCACAGACCAAGTTACTCCCAATCCAAGGTTTGAAAAACAAAACAAAACCCAAAAGATACATATTATATATATATATATACACTATATATATGTGTGTGTATATATATATATATATAATTATCAGTTATAAGTAGGATAGCAGAATATTAAACAAAAGGCCCTCTCTACCCTACAGATATATGGACTTAACAATAATATACTACCTGGGCTACAAAGTGAGCGCAACGTCAGTCTGAACTGCATAGCAAGACCCTGTCTCAAAAAGAGAAAACAAAAAAACAAACAAAAAAAAACCATAATATACTACCAAGATTACCTTTGTCAAAATTCCCAAAAGCAGGTAAGTATACATAGCACTGCAGATAACCATAACGCTAATGACAGTCACATATTAGAGGAAAGGAACATTAGTGATAAGACTTTTATCTAGCACAGTTCTACATTCTCCTCAGAAGCACAGTATAATTATGAAAAATCCTTTCCTTCTCCCATAAGACTGCAAAAAGTTAGAGGAATACAGAGACACACTTCTGGTTTTGTAGGGGCTTTCTGAAAACTGCCCTCTGTCTAGATGGTGTGGGAAATCATATGGATATGATGAAAAGTTCAGGACAGCTGAAACAAAGGTATTACAGCTGCAAAAGATGGCCATGCCAGTCACAAGTCAATAGAGGTAGAATAGAAAATGAGGTCTTAGTACCTTTTTAACTGGGAAAACACAAACACATTATGAAAGCAGATTTGAGTTTCCAACAGTTCCTAACACAATGACTGCTGTCAGTATTCCCTGAAGGTTGCCAATCCACAGAGATAAGAAAAAATGATTTTTGTGTTTTTTACGAATTGCTATTTTATTATTTAAATCATATATATTTACCATGTTAATCATGATGTTTTGAAGTATATGGATAGTGAACTAAGTCTAGTGAACTAAAAACAAACATTACTAAACAATCATTTTTATGCTAAGAACTATTATTTTCTTACCATTTCTCAAAAATATAGCATATTAACTTACTTGCCATGTTCTACATCTCTTGAACTTCTTGTGTCTTAGCTAACTAAAATTTTTGTAGATGATAACCAACATCTGCCTAACTTCTCCCCAAACAACCACAGACCCTGGTAAACACCACTTTACACATTTGAGATCAACCTTTTTTAGATTCCACAGATGAACAAAATCATGTAACCACCACACCAGAGTCCTGTGCCAGCCAGACCCAGGAGGACAAGGGAGACGCATGCCCCACCTTTAGCTGCCGGTGTCAGAAGACCCAGGAACAGTGTGCTCAACATCCAGTCCTTGAGTTCTCCACAGCACAAGGCAACAGAGTGGCTAACCAACAGACTAACCTGATCAAAGAAGCCAATTCCCAGGAGGAGAGTTTTACTTCAGGACTTAAGGGATATCCTACCAGAGAGATCAGGTGAGAGACAGCCTTAGGAGATAGGTTGAGAGAGGGAGAGATATATAGGAATCTCCTGGGTTCCCCTGGGAGGCCTGGTCTCAGACCAGGCAGATCAGGGGGATCTGTATTCTGTTGTGGGAGGCCAGGTGTGGTGGAAGTAACAGTCCAAGGGGGTGGTTCTGAAGAAGGCATATAGTCTAGGGATATGTTTGAGCTCTGGCACTGCTGCCAACATCCCAGAGAAGTTTGTGCCCTGAATTACTATAGGTCAATATAAGGGGGACTAACTGCCTTCACTAAAATCAGAGTTCTTTTGCTTTGGTAAAGGGCTGTTCATGAGTAGTTCCTAGGGTTTGCCAAGTTGACTTTGGATGCCATCATTACTGAACTTACTACCATAGGTAAGGTAACAGAGCAGTGGCCTGCAATTACTTGGCTTTCTCTCTATGCCAATACCTGGATTGCGACAGGAGGGGTGTTTCCATAAGCAATACTGTGGCTCACACCTGAAAAGTGGGGCACTGGGCCAAAGGATCTGCAGACTCCAGCACAAAAAAACAAAACAAAACAAAACAAAAAGGCTGATTGAGTCTGGCATTTTTGATTTCTAGTTTTCAAGGCTGATTAATTTCAAGTTAGGTCTTATTTTTCGGGAAATACAGTATTTACTAGTTTGTTTCACTTATACTAATAATTTATCCTAGTTCTTTGAAAAGAAGGTAGTTATCTTTTTTTTTATGTAAGAATCTTTATGCTTTATGTCCTGTACTGCAACCACTGTTATTCTGTTATTTGGGCATGTAAAAACATTTTTATGAAATAATACAGTTTAAAAAAAGAAAAAAGAAGGCCAAGCATGGTGGTGCACACCTGTAATCCCAACACTTGGGAGGCTGAGGCAGGAGAACCATTGCAAGTTTGAGACCAGCCTGGGCTACAAAGTGAGCTCAAGGCCAGCCTAAACTGCACAGCCAGACACTGTCTCATAAAGACAAAAATAAATAAATAACAATAATAATAATAAAATTTAAAAAAGAAATCATGCAGCAACTAAATACCTGTTTCTAGCTTATTTCAGTTGTTATAAAGTCCTGTATGTTTGATGTGTTCTATGACAGGAGAATGCCATATATATACATATATATGTATGTATGTATGTATGTATATATATATATATGTTTTACTTAGATAAATATATATATTAGTGATGGTGAACCTATGGCATGCATATTATTATTATATTTTTTAAGGTGAAAGTTCTCAATGTATGAGGGGTTTTTTCCTAAATTAAAACATCGATATTCAGGTTTAACTGTACTATTGGTACTTCATGATAAATAGTAAGTGGGCTTTGGCTTGCCATTGGGGCTCTCAGTCTCTAAAAGCTCTCTGAGTAACAGACACATGCAAAGGGAATTCAATAGTACTGTAATGAATGTCCATAAAACATGTTTGCTATGTAATTTGACCACTGCTGACATATATATGTTCTTTATTCTCTCATCCACTGATGGTAATTTAGAATGGTATCTTGATGTTGGGAATAATGCTGCGCTGAACATGGCAGTGGAGATGCTGCCTCAAAATATTAACTTCCTGTGACTATACAGATTACTGAAACTTTCTTGCTCTTTTTATGCTTCATTTTTGGGGTACTGGAGATCGAACACAAGGCCTCATGTATGCTAAACAAATACTCTAAAAATGAATATATATCCAGTGTTACTTCATGTATTTTTTTAGCAACTTTCATACTTTTTGCTATAATGACTGCACTAATCTACAGTAAGTTGGTTTCTAGATAGCTAAATCTTTAACATAACACAGCATAACAAGGAAGCAGAGAAGTATGGTCTAATCACAGAATGAAAAAATAGAAAAGGACATTGAGGAAAAGATTTGTGAATTATCTGAAGAATTCAAAGTAGTCATTTGAAAGATGCTTCATGAGCTAAACAAGAACCCAGGAAACTGAATGAAATTTGGAAAATAAGAATACCTACAAAGAAAGAAAAACTATAAAGAGAAAAAAGTAGAAATTGTGTAGTTGAGCAATTCAATAAAAAATAATGACTGAGAAATATGCAGTGTGAGGAAGGAAAAAGACCCAATTTAAGAAGCTCAACCATCTCCAACTAAGATAAACACAAAAAGACTGAAAAGAAACATTAAAATCAAAATTTCAAAGTCATAAAGAGAATCTTGAGAGCAGAAAGAAAAAAATATTGTTCATGTATAAGGGTGCTCTTATATGATTATCAGCTGACTTCTCAGCAGAAACCCAGGAATCCAGAAAGGAGTTAGAAAATATGCTCCAAGTGCTGGTGTGTGTGTGGGGGCCTCTACCAAGAATACTGAATATAATAAACCTGTTCTTCAAAGTGACAGAAAATTAAACTTTCTAAAATATACAAATGCTCAAGAAGTAAGCATAAGAACTGCATTATTAGAAATGCTAAAGGGGAACTTCACTGAAAAGTAAAATAATGGTGCTTAACAACACAAAATGTATGTAATTTTAAAGCTCTCTGAGAAACAGACATATGCAAATAGAATTCAATAGTACTGTAATAAATGTGCATACAAAATGTTTGCTATATAATTTGACAACCAAAAGCAAAAAAATTATCATAAATATCTGTTAAGAGGTATGTAACATAAAACATTTTGCCATCAGTAATGTTAACATTGAGGGAAGATGCAAAGACAAAGTTAGTATGTGAATTAAAGTTAATTCCTTGCCAGTTTAAAATAAACTGACTGTATGTTCAACACGCTTTCATAAAATCCCCATGGTAATAACAACAAATTCATAAAAATGAAATAGGGGAGAAATGAAAGTATGGCACTATAAATATAAAAGAGATAAATTAAAGCAATGAGGATAGTAGAAAAAATAATTCTAAAAACTCTAGAAAGCAATTAAGAAAAGGGTAATATTAATTTATTTCCAGTAATTTAAGTATAAATGGATTACACACTTTGGGAAGAATAAACTCAATAATGAAAATAAACCTAAAAACATACCACTATATAATATCTACGGGACATTCATTTAAGACTTAAAGACAAAAAAGGCTGAAGTTAAAAGGACAGCTATGATATTCCATGCAAAACTGACCAGAAGAGAAAAAAGAGTGGCCATAATTATATCACACAAAATACACATCAAAGGAAAAACTATCCCGAGAAACAAAAACTGTTATATAAAGATGAAACTGTCTTTCAATCTTACTATATATGATAAAACAAAGGTTCAAAAATGAAAATATTAACTGATGTGAAAGAATTTAAGAAATGAAATACAGAAAATGGAACTGCAGGCTGAGTGTGGTGGCACACAGTTGTAATCCCAGCACTTGGGAGGCTGAAGCAGGGGGACTGCTGCAAGTTCAAGGCCAGCTTGGGCTACAAAGCAAGTTCAAGGACAACGTCAACTATATAGCAAGAGCCTGTCTAAAAAAAAGAAAGCGAGAGAGGGAAGAAGGAAGAGACGAAAATGGAATTGCAAAATGAAAAAGAATATTTAATGAAATCCTGAATAAAGCTTGATATACAATTCTTTTCTTTTTTTTTTTCTGGTACCAGGAATCGAACTCATGACCTTGCACTTGCCAGGCAGGCGCTGTGCTGCTGAGCTAAACCTCCAGCCCCTTGATATACGATTCTAAAAATCATAAATAACTACAGTTTTATATTTTGAATCTCTGACTCACTGTATGGTAGGAAAATTAGACTAAGCACTATAATCATTCATAAGTAAGATGAAACAATATTTAATATTTAATGAATACATACATATATGATATCCCAGAAATTTCTTTATGATGTCTTTGTATAGTACAACGGATTAACACAGAAATCTTTTAAAATGTGCACAAATTTCCTGAAGAAACCAAAAGCAACAGAGAGGTACTCAGGTCACTAAGAAGACCCTCACAAGTGAAAGGAAAGACTTGCGCTGTCACTATGAATGTCCTGGGAGATCATGAATACAGGGCTCAAGATGTCCACTATGATAGCAAGCATACTCTTTTTTTTTTTTTTTTTTAGTTTTTCTCCGGTACCGGGAACCAAACTCACAACCTTGTGCTTGCCAGGCAGGCACTTTGCCGCTGAGCTAAATCCCCAGCCCCAGCAAGCATACTCTTTCCTTCTGAAAAACCATTTCTTTTGGAACAGCACTTCTGGACTATACATTTAAAAACCTGGATTCCTCTTTTGTCTTTGTACCTCTCGAATGGGTCCTCTGCTTCATTTATTCCCACCTACCTGGGTATACAGCCGATGTCTCTTGTCTCTTTACACTGCAGGGCTCTTTGCTTTGCTCTAGAAAGGTGATCAGGTTAGGCGTAGAGCCAGCAAAACCTGTTTATTAGAAAATGATATATTACACTTGCTTTGAAATTTCCCCAGACTACTGAAATACCCCCCCCCCATACTGTACTCAAAATAAAAGAGAAGACATAATGGGACATTCTAGAAAATTGTATCTTCAAATAGTATTTGCAGGGGCTGGGAATTTAGCTCAGTGGCAAAGCGCCTGCCTGACAAGCACAAGATCATGAGTTCGATTACTGCTACCGGAAGAAAAACAAAAACAAAACAACAAAAACAAAAAAACAAGTAATATTTCCATACAGATTAATTAGAATATATGAAAACCAGTTTCAATTTGCAGATCCTAAAGTCCATTTTTCAACTACTACTAACTCAAAGCTAAAAGGGAGAATTTAGAGTTTAAGATATGGCAATAATATTTTGTATCACTGAATTTCCAATACTACCATTAATCTAGACTGAAAGACATATGATAGTTCAATTAAAATGGAAGCAAAAGACATGCAAATTTTCTTGTCTATACCAAGAAAAGTGTATATTTGTTTTTAGGGTTTTTTTGTTTTGTTTTTTTTTTGGTCTTTTTTGAGACAGGGTCTCACTATGCAGTTCAGGCTGGCCTTGAGCTCCCTTTGTAGCCCAGGCTGGTCTCGAACTCACAACAATCCTCCTGTCTCAGCCTCCCGAGTGCTGGGATTACAGGTGTGCACCACCACACCCAGCCTGTATTTGGTTTGAAAGCAGAAATCTGAAACTCATTCTCACAAAGAAGTTCCCTACAGGTATTCTAAAAAGGAAGAAAATTTATTATTGATCGTTAAGAAGGAATTCTGTAGGGAAGTTATCCTCACCCAGAGAGATCAGGTTTCCGTAAGTCTCTAACATCACATCCTTATACATATTCTGCTGAACAGGGTCCAGGCACTTCCATTCCTCTGGGGAGAAATCAATGGCCACATCGCTGAATGTCAATAGTTCCTGGAAAAAAAAAAAAAAAAACAGTTCCTGAAATAAAATCACCAAGTTGGAGTTGCCTTTGACCATTTCTTTGTTCTGAATATTGTAATGTGCATACTATATGTAACTCCTCATTTAGCAATCAATTCAATTAACAATGTAGTTGAAGGAATGAAACTTGGTCCTTAAATGGGGAATGTCTGTATTACTACCTTTGTAGAAAACTGATGGTAATTTTGTTTCTTATTCAACACATTTTAAAAATTATTTAGCCCACACTGTCCACAGGTTACTGTGCTGGGTGCCAGGACCTTGAAGTATCACTATGGGGAAGGAAAAACCTCAGCACAGAACACAACCATTAAGGATTTTATATTACACATAAATTCCATAATATAATTTTTTCTTTTAATAAAAAAAATTTAAGAGAAAAAGGGTTGGGAATATGTGGAAAGATATACACTGTGACTATGCAATATACTTTTCTCCTTTTAGTTTCATCCATTCTTTTTGCACTATATCAGTGAATCTAACCTGCAGAAATTTCTATTTTGGTTTTCCAGTGGAAATTTTCTATTTTGTATAATCAATCTACATTTATTACTTTGAATTCTTTTATAAGGGGTGATTTATATCCCTCCTCTGTCTTACAATCCTTATTATTTAACTTTTTATATCAATACTGACTAAAGAAAATTTATTTTACTCCTTGGGATATAATCCAATGCTATCAATATACATTTTGTTGTTCATTGAACACTGGCAGATCGTTTAGCCTACTTTCTTTTGACATGGTGCAAAATATTCATTTGGGCACTCTTCAAGAGTAGAGGGTTCAGACAGGGTCTCACTACACAGTTCAGGCTTGCTTTGCGCTCACTATATAGCCCATGCTAATCTGAACTACCACTGATTCTCCTACCTCAACCTCCCAAATGTTGGGATCACGGGTGTGTCTCACCATATCTGGCCATTTTGTCACTTTAAAAACACTTTTATAGTTTCTAGCACAAAATATTCTACAATGATCCTGTATGTCTCATTCCCAAACTTTTGTGGCAGAATCAACGGTCATTACCTCATATAAGCAAGGTGATTCAATGTTTAACCTTCAATATGTAACATCAATGAGCTTAACCAATAAATCAGACAATCATATCAAAAGTTGCTGATAAATGTTTGTAAGGAGAGAAAAGGAATAAAAAAGGCACCAAGTTTGAGAAAGAAAGAGATAAAACTATTCACAGATACCATGACATTTTATATAGAAAATCTTAAGGGGCCAGTAAAAAAAATTCTAGTGAAAGAATCAATCAAGGTTATAGAAATGAGCTGGGTGTGGTGGTGCATGCCTGTAATCCCAGAATGCAGGAAGCTGAGGCAGGAAGGTCACTGTTAGTTCAAGGCCAGCCTGAACTAGATAGCAAGACTGTGTCTCAAAAAAAAAAAAAAAAAAAAAAAAGGAAGAAAGAAATTACAAAAATAATAATACCCATGTTATTGGGTAAGCAGCCTTAATATTATTAAAATGCCAGATCTTTCAAGTTTTAATAAACTTCTTCACCACACAATCCATTAAAAATCTTTGTATTATTTTATTAATTCTAAAAGCAGAATTCTACCTTTTGTATGTAACAACAAAAAATCCAGCATGTTAAACACAACGCTGAAGAATAATTTCACAGGATTGATATTACTTGACTTTAACAAAGCAGGTACTCAAAATTTATCTTTTAGACCACAAGTCTTTGGATAAAAAGAAGTTAAATTTGAAAGTGAGATGATTTCCCGACATTAATTCAGAGATCTCACACTTCTGATATAAAGTTTAACTTTGAGTCCAGTTTGCACACAGATCAAGAAAGTAAAAGCTGCTTCAGTAGAAGCTCAGGATGTTACAAGAAGTTTTACGCATGAGAAGTCAACTATAAACTTAACCTGAGATGTAGAAGTCCAGAGCATAGTTAAGACACCCATAAATATCTTCAAGTAATTCAAGAAAGAGAAATAACATGAATTATCAAAAGACAAAAGACAAGTTTAAAAAATGAAAATTCTAAAACTGTAAAATACAGTATCACAAATAAAAACGTACTGATCAGCTTCAAACCAGATTAGGAAAGGCGAAACAACACTATAAAAGAGTTTTCAAGGACATCCTGGAAAAAGACAATGAAGTTAACAATGCCAAGAGGTCCAAGAGAATGAACGCATCAAGCAGGGATAGCAATTAAAAAGGGAAAGAAAGCAAAATAGTAAATAAATAATATAGCGAGAGGAATAAGTCAACAAATATCAATTACAACTATCAATGTGTAGAACTCAACTCATCAATTAAAAGACACAGATTAGCAGAATGAATCAAGAAACAAAATCCAATGGTATGCTATATACAAGAAACACATCTAACACAAAAAGAAATTCATAGACTAAAAGTCAAAGAATGGAAAACAATATTCCTTCAATGAGAACTCCCCAAAAAAGCAGTCATAGATATTCTCTTCTACAAGTGGAAGTTATGATTTATATCTAAAATGTCCCACAAAACCTCTGTGCTGCCAGTGGGGCTTATGGAGCATGGGAATGTAATACTGGATTATGGCTCTGTGATAACTGGGTCAGTCCTCTGACTGGATTACCAAGTTCTGGGTGGGGCTGAATGGATTTAGCGGACAGAGGACTCACCCTTTGTGTAAGTGGCACCAACCAACAGGGCTTGTAATCTGAATGGAATAAAACAGGGAAGGCCTACTGCCTCTTGCCTGCCAATCCATGTACTTCGTTTTCCCTCTGCCATGCAGCCCTATACACTGGAGCCAGCTGAAAGCTCTACGAACTGTGGACTAAAATAAGGCTTTTTTCCGTTAACTTGTGGATGTCATTTCTTTTGTCCCAGCAAAGAGATTATAACTAAGACAGTGGTCTTAAAGCCAAAGCTGATCAAAAGAGACAAGAAGGACATTGTATACTGGTTAATGAAATTATTCACCAGTAAGAGATCACAATTATACACACACATGCAACAAACCAGTGTACCCAACTTCATAAAACGAACACTAATGGACATAAAACGTAAGATAAACATCAACACAATTATAGTGGGGGAATCTCAATACCCCACTACCACAATCACTTAAACAAATAATTAACAAAGAAGTATCAGTGTTGGGCTGGGGATATAGTTCAGTGGCATAAGTGCTTGCCTGGCAAGCCTGAGGTCATGAGCTTGATTCCCAGTACTGGAAAAACAACAATAACAAAAACAAACAAAAAGAAGTATCAGTGTTGAACCAAACCCTTGAAGAAATAGACTTAAAACATATATACAGAGTATTCTACCCAACAACGTAATACACATTCTTTTCAGCAGAACATGGTACTTTCTCCAAAACAGAACACATACAAGCTAATAAAGCTTGAAATTTTGCCATGCAAATTACCAGATCACAGTGCAATGAAACAAAAAAATCAACACCAAAGAAACCACAGAACCGGGCATGGTGGTGCATGCCTATAATCCCAGCAATTGGGAGGCTGAGGCAGGCAGATCACTGTGAGTTCAAGGCCAGCCTGGGCTACAAAGTGAGTTCAAGGCCAGCCTGAACTGCACAGGGAAACCCTGTCTCAAAAAAACAAAAAAAGAAAGAAAAAAAAAAAAAAAAAAGGGCTGGGTATATAGCTCAGTGGCACACCATCTGCTTGGCAAGTACAAGGTCTTGAGTTCAATTCTTGGTCCAAAAAAAAAAAAGAAAAGAAATCACAGAAACTATGCATGGAATGCATAGTACGGAAATGAAACAACACATTCTTAAGTAATGGATCACACAAGAAATTAAAACTAGAAACGACAGTTCCTAGAATTAAAATATCAGTACATCATACCAAAACCTATGGTACACAATGAAGACAGTCCTAGCTGTGAATCCCCACATTAAAAAAAAAAAAAAGCCAAAAAACAAAAACAGAAATAAAGTGAAATCAAATAACCTAATGATGTACCTCAAGGTTGTAGAAAAACAGGAACAATTCAAATCTAAAACCAGTACAAAGGAAGAAATTATCGATAAAGATCAGAGCAGAAATCAATGAAATGAAGACTTAATACAAAGAGGGGCTGGGGATTTAGCTCAGCGGCATCGTGAGTTCGATTCCCAGTACCAGAAAAAAAACAAAACCAAAAAACAAAAAAAAAAAAATACAAAGAATCAGTAAATTGAAGAGCTGATTCTTTGAAAGAATAAACTAAAGAGACAAATCCTAAGGTAGTCTTACCCCCAGAAAAGGAAAAGATCCAAATCAATACAATTAAAAATGAAAAAGATGAAATCACAACAAATAACACTAAAATTCCAAAGAGTAGCAACTATTTTGCCAACTTGTATTGTAACTGAAGAATTCAGAAGAAATGGATAGATTCCTAGATTCGTATCCATTACAATAACTGAACCAAGATAATATAGAGACCCTCAATAATCCAGTAACACATATGGAAATTGAAGCGGTAATTAAAAAGTAAAAACAAACAAAAACCCTATCACCTAAGAAAAGCCCAAGTCCAGATGGATTCACTGGTGAATTCTACAAGAACTTCAGGGAAAATGTAAGAACAGTAATTCTCAGGGTCTTTAATGAAACTGAATGGGAAGGAGTGCTACTCCTACTGCTGTTCTCACATCCTTCCTAAAAGTTAGCATTACCCTGATTCCAAAACCAAACAAGGCTCCAATCAAAAAGAGAACTAAAGACCAATCTCTATAATGAATGTAGATACAAAAAAATCCTCAACAAGGTACTGGCAACAATGCAAGGACTCATCAGAAAGATCACACATCATGAGGATATAGGCCTCCTCCCAGGGATGCATGATTGAGTCAACGTAAGAAAAACAGTAAATGTAATATATCACCTAAAAAGAAACAAAGACAAAAATCACATGATCACCTCAACAGATGGGGGGAAAAAAGTCTTAGAAAAAATCTAATCATGAAGAAAATAGGTATAGAGGAACCATCCTAACTGGA